ACGTTATGAACTCTTCCTCTTTCTGCCATTCTCGCTGAATCTCTCTCAAATCGTGACTGCACTCTTTGGCAGAATCTACTTTAGGAGGAGAACATTCTGATTTCCTCTCATTCTCACACATATCTTGTGAAGGTTTATTTTCTGTATGACAAACTGTGTCTTCCTTTGTTTTAGGGCAATCGTTTTTCTCCATTCCGGAATTCGTACCGCAATACCCACTCTTGCTCGCTTGAAAATGATCATTGCATTCATTTCTGCAGGTTTCTTCAGGTTTAGCGACTGGTGTACAAGGATCACATACATCTGTTCCACGTGATTCAGTTTCAAGGCAACTTTTACCTGTTTGAATGCTTGCCTCGGGTTGATGACAATGTTTCGTATCTTCAACATCACAGTGATCGCTGCAATTAGGCCTACATGTCTGCGGATCACATTTATCCGCATTGTATTCTTTACAGGTCTCTCTATCAGGCAACAAGATTGGTCCATAATACTGGTTCCACTTCCCTAAACCTTCATTTATACAAGTTTCATTTTCCATGTGCCCGCAATTCGCACTTTTCTTCTCTACAGGCCAACAAGAACCGTTTGTCTTTTGCGTTTCGCAATTTTGTTTTCCAACTTTTAAATCAGGGCCACATCCTGTTTCACTAATTTTCATCTGTAGAGAATCCAAAGGAATGGGATTTTCCGTGCAATCTGATGCATTTTTCCTTACATTTTCCTCGGCACATTTTGGCGTAGCATACGGTGGGCAGTTACAATCTTTAGATCCCATATGGTTACTGCCACCATAACCTTCTCTATCTAATGGTGTACTAAATTTCTTCTCAGATTCTTCTAGCTTATACCCTAGCGTTGAGCTTATCGGTCCACATGAACTTGTGCCCTGTTTATCTTTTCCTAACAAGTTATCTCCCTGTGATTGAATATTTTCTTGTTTCTTGACTTCAGTTTTCTCTAAATGTGATGGTTTATTTGCTTCTCCACAGTTTTGTTGCAGTTTAGAACTGCTGTTCAAATCACCATTGCCTTTTTTGCCATCGCTCGTGTTCAGCCGCACAGCTGACGTCACGAAAGAGTTTGTTGAACGTAAAAGATTTGAGCTGTTTCTCTGAATCAGTTTGTGTATAAGATATCTAGGGAACATTGTGTAATTTGGTTGGTTAGTATATCACTTAAATTTATCATTGGCAAAGTTTGGTAGGCTTTTACTTTTAATATACAACAGTGTTGCTATGGATAAACCAGCGAATATTTCTTTTGGATCTCTTTTATTTCTATTAGCCTTAAGTACTGGAATTCATATATGTTGGTCTCATTTCGTTATACTTTTAGGATGCAGATGCACCAAACTGTTATTCATAAAAAAACTAAGTTATGGAATAGATGTAACTAATCATAAAAAAACTAAGTTATGGAATAGATGTAACTTTCTGTTTTGTTGAGGAATAGGTTTACTATTTTAGACTGTTAGAAGTAAAAGTTATAAAGTAAAAGTTATAAGTTATAAAGTTAGTAAAGTTAACACAAGTAGCCTATATAGGCCTAAGTCATCTTTTAATTTGAACATTTTTTGTAACTGCCTAAAATATATTTTGTAGAGTTTGTGTGGTATACGCCCGTTTCAGATGAAAATACATCTTGGTTTATAAAATATTAAGTTAAACAAAAATATGTTTTCAAGTTTTACTTTCTATCATATCAACTTTCTAAAAGTATCACATTTGACTATTTGGTATTACTAAGATTTCTATAAAGTACCAATTATTTTGACATGTCCTCATACCATACCAGATACCGTGATGGTTACTTTAATCTCTTATTGTTTTACCAATGGACTCCAGTATTTTTAAAAGAGTAAAATTGCAATGGAAAGATGTGTGAAAAATTGCATCGGTGTTACCTTTAAGTTAATTTTGAACATTACGGTTTTCAGTTAATTTTACATAGTTTTCTCACTTAAGTGTTTCTAGTTGAAAATACAACCTACTTTACGCATTAGTTACTGACGTATCCGTAGCAACAATAATACATATTTAAAGTCTAATGTTTAAATTCAAGTGATCCTAAAATTCACAATGATTCCTCTAAGTATATTCTCAAGGGCGTTGACCCGACCAGTGATCCAAGGTGTGTCCCGCAGTGTGTCCACGACAAGACCACAGTTCGGCTGCGGATGTAGACAATCCAAAGAAGATTGTCCACCCAAGAAGTGCGAGTCGAGAGTTGCAAAAGCTAAAAAGAAGTGCGTCCCGATGAAACCGCGCGATGAAGTAGAAGACATTGAGTCGAAAATGCATCCTGAAAACATGTCTAAGATGGCTATTCTTGAGTTTTCTTCCAAATTAGAAGAACTTCAGAAAAACTGGGAGAAGATTGTTATTGTAATGGAGAAAGATTGTGAGGCTAAAGGGCACAAGAAAAGTAATGGCGGAGATGGAGGTGCGAGTGGACAAGAGAGAACGCCAGGGTGTAGAGTAAAACCACCAAAACCCCCCAAGGAGGAATCGCATTTAGGGGTATATGTGGCTGTATTGGCGGCAGTGATAGCTGGAGGGTTGATATATCATCTGTATCAGGAACAGAAGAAAAATGAAGGGCAAGATGGGAAAGACGGGAAAGATGGGAAAGACGGGAAAGATGGGAAAGATGAAAAAGATGGGAAAGATGAAAAAGACAAGAAATAAAATATTCATGATGTGACCACTTACCTTCGAGTACAGGATAAATGAATAATAAGTACCGTAATTAAAACTTCCTAATAAATTTCCCTTAATTTGTCTGTTCTAAATTGTGCAAAGGTATCGAAAGTAGTTAGAAATCAGGCTGGAATTGAGTCTATTTACATATTTCATCAAAACAATAGTAAGTTAGCTATATTTAAGACCATTCATACGTAAAGCTACTTTAAGGTTAGCCTAAGGTTACGTTTAAGGTTACTCTTTAAGGTTAGCCTTGGTTAAATGATGGATCGTCATTGAAAGATTTAGGTTTCAAAATGCAATTGAAAGCTGTCACACTCTGTACATAAGTTGAAACACCTTTGAATACTGTGAGTAGCCTTTTCATACTGTTGTAAAATTCAATCGTGTTTTATGTTTCATTTTGGTAACGTTTGAGATGCACTGATTTTGACTAAATATTTCTATTCATAGGGTAGATTATTTAACGACATGTCCTTTACCATTGACTATACACCTCTACGTCAATGGCACTAGTATAATGATGATGGTCGCCTGAACCTCGCAATAAGATAAATGTACCTATAGCTTCAGATAACAAAGAGATAACAAACAATCTGTGCAAGGAAGCCCACTTTGTCGGGTGACTGTTGGAAAAATGTGTTCGTTTATTTTTCTCAGAGCATTTTCCCTGGTAAATGTATAACTTATTAGGTTTGAAGAACCGCATTTATCTCTTCTATTTTTGAATCACGGGTAGAGACACTAGTTTAGATAATTTTGTTTATTTGTTTGAAATATGGTGGAATCCTTCGGCGATTGTCTAATGATGGTCCTTCTTATCCATTTAAATTTCATAGCAGAATAGTAGCAAACGGCGAAACAAGTATTATAATGTATAACAAATCTAACAAAACCGAAAATAGTAAACCTACGGAGAAATAGTTTTGAAAAACAACAAGTTAACAAGTTTTCTTTACACGCGGTAAAGGTCGATAAAGTGCAAAAATATTTTTACACTGATATATATAAAAAAAAAATGGAAATGTAGGGTAGTTTTTACCAGCCAGAGTGTGCCTACCATATAGACCGACTTCTCCTTCCCTCCAAAAGCGTAGCTCTTCTGTTCTTCCCGCCAAAAGTTATCGTGGGCTGAAGATAATAATCAGCTGTCGTTCGTGTGGAGGATTCGTGATCACTTTCTACCCTTCATCAGATTATAGTCCTTCTGGAGAGGTGATCATATTGTTCGGAAGGTGGAGTGAATAAAGTGTTGATACGTAGAGATCTATATGAATATGACCACTTCACTTCAGGCCCCTTCACTCCTGCACGAAGGGACTTATCTTTGGTAGGATTTTCTTCAGTTACATTTCAAGTTATTTAGTTGAAAATTACAGATTTTTTTATATTTAAATCAGAACTCTAGTTTAGTGATCTAGTTTCGTTGACATGCTACAACTTTTCTTTTAGATATAAAATACTTTTGGATTATCCTAAAAAATTAAGGTTGACAAAAACAGAATGGCCGTGTAAAAACTTGCCAATCAAATAAGTGATTTTCTCATAAATAATTATAATATTAAAACCACTTTTGTAACACAAGCTTTTATTTTCTTATTTAAATTCAAACTAACTCTTGTTTGTTTACAAGACTAACAACATTAAAATAACCATATGAATTATAACATGTGACATGATTGAGCCAGTAGAAAAGAAACAACTTTAAACATTTTCTAACACACTCCCCCCTTTGCGAAGGCTTTCGCAAACTACATGTTTTTAGAGGAACAAATCTACCAGTTCAGTTTTTTTCAATTCGTTGGATAAGCAAGATCTACCACTGTAGTTTGAAATGTTTATTCTCTCTTCAGGAAGTGGGGTTAAAGGGACTTGCAGTGATTTAACTACTAACTTTTTACACATGTGCACATTTGTTTATAACCCTACCAACAGTTTAAAAGTATCCACACTCTTTCTCAAAAAATATCTAATAAGGCTTGTACACCCGCGTGCGTGTTCTGTACATGATACTGTTCGATTAGTCTGTCAACTGCAATATGATAAGATGGTAGGATAACACATACAGAACATAGGATAACGAGAATTCTTGACTATATTCTTCACTTAAACCTTGATTTTAGTCGGATGATACCATATCCGACTAAAATCAAGGTTTAAGTGAAGAATATAGTCATGCATTTTAAATTCCACTCAGTGTAGTACATTTGAGTTCTACAGGGAAACATTCTTGTTTAATAAGTCTAAAAATAACTTTTTCTGCTCTTTTAAACTCATCTGCTTGAATGTTACACTTTATTCTGTCATTCGTCTCTTGCTATGTTTCAAAGTCCAAGTCTTTTGCAATATCATCTTAGAAACTAAACCATTGGGTGGTGCGGTTGTCTGTAGCCGTTTTTCTGCTGCATGGCGATTCGTTTTTAAAGGTGGGTATATCCATGGAAGCTTCACAACATAACGCCCATCAATTTCCCAGTTGACTGTTCTTTTTGAATGTTCAAGTACTTTTGCATCCTTTTCTTTTTTATTAAGCTGTTGGATGGGGTCAGCGATACCTAATGGTTCAACGTCCCAAAAGTTTCCTATGTCAGATGTTAAGGTGGATGCAAACATCGTTGAAACGAATGATGATTTTCTATTTGATGTGCCAACAACAGTCCAACCAAGCTGGGTCCTTATTGCTACCAACTGATCGCTTACTTTCAAGAACTCGTTCGTGATGATATTGGTCCAGGCATCAGCTCCAATCAACACATCGATGTTTGTATGATCTGTATTTGTTGCTGTTGGAATGTCAGTTAAAATGATGTTTTGCTTCTTCAATGCATCAATAAGATTTTGGTCTGTCAGTTGAGGAACTTGACTACAAATGGTAGGCTGCTCCAATACATTAAGACTCATTCTGTAGTCTGAACTCAAGGATTCCAGAGCAAGGGTATAAAATGCATGTTGTCTTGGCTTCATTTTCCTTCCTCCAAGAACTTCTTGTTGGATCAAAACACTTCCTTTAGGTTTGAGACCTAGTTGTCTTGCACATTCTTCAGTTACAAAACTCTTCTGAGATCCTGAATCACACAGTATTCTTATCCTTTTCTTTGCGTTATTCGGACCTAAAATGTTAGCTGAAAGGGTCTGTAAATAAGTAACCTTATTTTCTGTTGTTGTTACAGAATTAGTGCTATTCTGTTCGGGCTCCTTTTTGTTGAATACTTCTGACTTTTCATCATTAGTCTGCACTTTCTTGCATAGGACAGTTAAGTGGTTACCTTTGCAGAAAATACACTTAACTTGTAACCTACATTTACTTGCTAAATGACCTTTTCTTAAACATCTTAGACATGCTCCTTTTTTCTTGACTATCTCAACCCGTTCATCTCTGTTCAAGTCGATCAATGAAAAGCATTCATGTGACAAATGAGATCCTTTTGAACAAAATATACAGTTGTATTTAACAACTGACTCCGGTTTGGAAGATGATACAAGAACAGCAGCAGAAGGTAAGCTTGTCTTTGGCTTAAGAGATTTAGTCGTTTTACATTCTTGTTTACCAAAAGTATCTTGATCAAACTTATTAACCCGCAACTTTAATCTTTCCTCTGCATCAACTTCAACTTTTAAGAAATTCAAAAGCTGAATGAGACAATTTTCTGGTTCTTTAGTTGATACATTGTGTAGAACACGGTGTCTTTCCCAGACTTTAAACAAAGGTTCTGGGATAGCTGATTCTACTAAAGGGAAAAGTATTGCTGCAAATTTGTCTTTGGTTACACCCAATGAATCTAAAGATCTAAGCTGTACTCCCAATTTATCATAATGATAGGTCACAGAAAGATTTTCCTCTCTTTTAAGAACTAGGGTTAACAATTCCCTTACGTAATATTCAATGAGGAACTCGTCTTTCCCATATCGGGACTTCAAAACATCTACAGCTTTTGCATAGTTTTCTTTAGATGCTGGAAAACCTTCAATGAGTTTTTGAGCAGGAGAATCTGGTTTCATTGATTGGTAAAGATACTCAAATTTGTCTTCATCTTTCAAATTATTGTCATCATGTATTTTAGCAAATTGAGACCAAAACCCAATCCAATTTTTTATTTCTCCATCGAATTTGTTAAGCTCAATTTTTGGGAGTCTTACTTTAGTACAATTTGAAGGGGCCGGTATACTAATATTTGAATGTGAATCAATTGAAACAGCTAGCTGAGTATTTTGAACTAACATAGTTATCTCATGATACTTCTCATTGTATTCAGAAGCTGTTGTCATCTCCTTTTCAATGTCCTCTTCATTAGCATTCTCATTTTCTATCAACTTGCTTAACACTTTTTCATTTACTTTCTGTAATTTTTCATGAAACTCCTTGAATGAATTATATTTTGGTAAAATAATCCTCAAATCAGCATTGTTGTCTACAAGTTCTTCAATAGCCTTGGCCTTTTTGGTAAAAACTGACCTAAGTCCTTTTCTTTCAGTTTCACTCATATTAATTAAAATTATACAATATTACACTTAAATACCATATAATCCTGGCAGGGTCGCCAAATGTAAAAACTTGCCAATCAAATAAGTGATTTTCTCATAAATAATTATAATATTAAAACCACTTTTGTAACACAAGCTTTTATTTTCTTATTTAAATTCAAACTAACTCTTGTTTGTTTACAAGACTAACAACATTAAAATAACCATATGAATTATAACATGTGACATGATTGAGCCAGTAGAAAAGAAACAACTTTAAACATTTTCTAACAGGCCGTGTTTGTTTATTTGTAAGGGTTAAAGTATGTTCATGTCCAATAACACTTTATGATAACGCTTATGAGTTTTTGTAGATAAAAAACTTTTTTGTTTTTGTATTTTAGTAACTTTATAACTCTTACGACCAAGAGTTGTCGTAAAGTTACTACAACTCTTGATCGTAGTAATTTTTATAAACAAAAATGGTTCATTTGACAACACTACAGCTTGTCCTTTCATGTTATAACTTATGACTTATTCGATTTACAACGTTTTTTGGAGTCCACATACCTACTGTAGGTACCCAATACAAAGCTATGGTGTATTTTACCAACATATTTTCTAAGGTGGGTGCTATTTGAGGTTATATCAGTTGGTATACAAACAAGAATACAAAAACACAGAGAAGAGAAACATTTAATACTTAAAAGGTAGATTATAAGGCTACAAGTTGCACATTTCAGTACACCTCTAGTGGTGGTACGCAGCATTGTAACATGTGACATTACGTAGGCGTTGACTGCATACTTCCGTAACACGTAATTATCAGATGGAAGTTGTAGCATTCTTCTGAGGAAAGTACCATATCCGCATATGCGAGGAGGGAAATATGAGAGGAGTTAATTTCATTTAATATAGTTTTCTCTTGTCAAAATAGACTGGCAACACTGATTTCAAAATACATAGGGTATAATATTCGTCTACAACTTTACCATGCAGTGGACGTTCAATCGTACAAAGTTGTAGTTAGTTTTCAAATAAAACAAAAGCTAAACAATTGAGACACCAACGGATTGTGACGCTCTAAACTAACTAGCAGTATGTAAACTCAGCATCTGTATGCTCAGTAAGCTATCAAAAGTATCATGTGGCATAATTTTGAAAAAGCTAAAGAATGTTAACCGTTCAAAACCAAGATGTTTAACTGAAACTACAATGCCATTTTGAACAACATTTTTATCGTTTACGATGGTACAACCTGGTTATTGCTGCTTTTTACCTTGACATTCTCATTACCTATGAAAAAGATAAATACAACGCATAGTTTTTACAGTGTTTTAAATGCCAACTCGAGTTACATCCGCAATAAATACTCTAACTAGCCCTCCTAGTATGTCATATCTACCGGCATTCCTCGATGGGAAATCTCCAAGAAATGCCCATGATGAAATCTCCGCCTCTACCCCGGAACCTCTTCTCTTCTCCAGGACCTAGTGTTGACATTCTGCGAGTGACACAGCTTATCAGCTGATTGAGGATTCACCACGGGTACCAACTGAGACAGTGGTAGTGCCAACGTTGCGACATTAATAGCTGGATCATAACATGGTCACACTGCGGCTTGCACAATGTTCCTTTCACTTGCCTTTCACTGATGTAAACTTGCAGATGAGTGACGGACGACCTTTGCCTCGTGATGACTGTCTGGGTCGAACCAAGACAAACATCGTTCTAAAGAGTTCAGACGAAAAGCTATATCAATGCTAAAAGGAATCTGGGGCCTTTCCTAGAAGAGGGCCGCCAAATAACGAACTTTCCCTTATGCAAAGATGTCAAGCCTAACCTAACTTAACCTAACCTAACCTTCGTTGGACATATTTTAAAAGTGGTGGCCATCTTGTTTAAAAGACTCGTAGACCTACCGGTACTTTGGCTTGATTCTAAGTTCAAATTATCATATTATTAATGTTATCAAAACGGATGTGTGTGAGGAAATGAGGACCAAAAAGGAAGTATCATCGTAACCCTAAATACACGAGTTGAGGATGCATTTAGAATGGAGTGAGGCTACTTCTGTTTCTTGGTTACTGACTATAATCAGGTGAATTTTAGCCAGGATCATTATTATTAAAACCATATGATCAAAGAAAGCTGGGCCCAGTTTTAAACCAATTAAACCATACGATTTCTTACCTTTTTAGCGAATTTCCCATATAGGGAATAAGCTATTACCGTAGTACTCATGGTAAGACCTGGACGCGGGACCGATTTTTTTTTTCGTTTTGAGGTCCCTAGAGGCCAAAAACATCATTCGTTCAAATTCATATATATATATATATATATATATATTTATATATTTATATATTTATATATTTATATATTTATATATTTATATATATATGTGTGTCCGTTAGCACGATAACTCGAGCAAAAATGATCCCATTTTGATGAAATTTGGTACAAACGTGTAAACCTACGTTTATTCGAACGAGTTCGCGATCCAGCATGATCGGACCATGGGAACGGGGGTTTATGGGGGGTTTTATGGGGTAAAAATACGTTTTTCCCATTTTTGACTCAAAAAACATAAAATTTTGCAATTTCTTTCTAAACCATTTTGTAGAGCTTAAAAAAACAAATAATTTAGTATATTGAAGCGTTATTATGCACCTAATGGTTACGGAGAAAATTTCAAAAAATTGTAAATTTAAAATTCCCATGTTATTCTTATGGAGAATAAGTAAACTGTTGTAGTTTGCTTGTTTATGAACATATTTTGATCGAATTTGGAAAATTGTTTATTTCTTACTAACTATTAGCATTTAACAATAAAAAAAAGAGAAAAAAAAACAGTTTTACCCTCCCTGATGCAGCAAACCTAAGTACTTTTTAAACTAATTCTATTTAAATCGGGAATAAATGTTATATTTTTAAGTAGACATTTCAGTGTAAATCCAATCAGTCAAATGGAAATTCGCTTAGTCTGCAGGTTTGCTGCGGCGGGGGTATTTTTATTTGAAATTTGTAATTGCGAGGAGAGCACTTTAATCACTCAGCTAAGCTATAGCTATTTACTATTGCTCAACTAACCAGATCATAGCCGAAAAGAGGTCTCAACGTGTTTCTAGTTTGAAAAGAAGAACGGGAATCTTGTACGAATGAAGAATGAGTTAATTATCCAAAGTAGGCTAATTGTACATTGTTCAGTTTACAAGATTCGTCCTCAATGACATTTGAAGCTCTTTTGTGTTCCGATACTCGGAAAACTACGAGAAAAAGTGGCATCAATAATCTTATTTTCCTATCATGGAGAAAGCAGGGCTACACAAAACACTTCTGATAAGAATCTGCGATTGCTGGACTGCAGTACAAGAATCTTAAGCAAATAAAGTAGAAACTAGAATCGTACTCTGAGTCAAAGATAAGATTGTGCGAATGCCACCATATTATCTGAGCTGCAACTGCACGTACACAATAAGAAATGAATTTGTAATTAATTAACTTGTATATAGCTTATTCTTGAGAGATGCTGTAGACATGATTCAAACAGAGAAAGTTTCTTCGGAGAGAGAATTAAGGTTTTCTAGATAGGTTAGATTAAGGTAGTCTCCGAACCATTTAGTTACGGCATCACATAGCTAAACAAAACCAGTGATTATCGGCGGGATTTGACTACGGTTGTTCAGATAGATTTTACTATGGTTGGAGTTAAAAGCTTAACCTTCAATAGAGATCAAACGAGCTAAGGTAAACTACTTTTAAACAAGTGACAACTGATTTCAGTAGATGAAACCAAGAAACCGGTAAACACAAGAAAGTGGTTCCTCAGGATATTTACATAATGATTTTACCTCCCGATCAATCACTAATCTCTCATTCGGTTCAATTGAAAGTAACCAAACTTAAACGGAATGATCATTGTGAAAGTATAATTTAGTGGTGGCAGGTGGCTGCATAGATATGTCAACTTTCTTGGGTAGAATTACTGTGCTTCGTCAGCAAATTCCAGAACCTAGAGAATGGACTTGAACTTGTGGGTAGAATGATTTAGGGTGAGTAGCATAGCTTTCAATACCATAAACTCTTTGGATTGTTTTTACGTTGTACGTCAGGTATAGGTTCCAATAAAGTTTCCTAGGTTCAAGTTTAATACATATTTCCCAAATTGGTAAAGATATACACCAATACCAATTCGCTGTTGGTGCTCTATATTTTGGTTCAAATTACATACGAAGATTTTACTGAAACCCTTCATTTTGACGTGATCGTAGATTTTTTCAGTAACAGAATCAAATAGTAAATAGTAAATCACACATTTACTTTGAAGATAAATAAACCAGTTTCACTCATTCAACACCAAGTACAGCCACAGTAGTTTCTCTGAATGTTGCCAGCTACTGAGTAATAAATATGACCACATTCCACCAATCCTCGTTACCGTGACGTTACTTACGACCAGGAAGTCTTTACTGGGGGTTAATTAAATGATAACTAGTGCGAGAGAGGATGAGTCGACGAGAGAAGGAAGCAATTACCAGAAGAGCGATCTGGAACTCCGGCAATCAGTAATCAGCAAACAGTAATTGGTGTCAGAGGTGGGAGAAACCTGGAGGAGAGTGGCTGCAGGTACCAGAAATGTCAGGGTAATATTTTGACATGATTGGACCTCCCGAAGGGAGGGATCCCTTACAGATGTAGCAAGCCAAGTGTCGCTGTCGGTGAGAATTTGACTATTCCCAATCCTCGCTGGTCCACAAGCACGGACCTCAATGCCGAATTTAGTCTTAGGTTTAAGCTTGTATCGCCCAGTTACGAGAGTAACTCCGTCATCAGAGACTCGACCGCCGTTCCGACCATCAGGGACTTTTCTTGGGAACCTTCAAGACACCGCACAGACTCAATATGGGATCACATACCGGAGATGGTAGCTGAGGAAGTCCCCAGCGTCACCCCCAAATAATCTACTGATCGTGTATACGACATGGACGTTAACAGGTAGCTGAGCTACCAGGGATTGGACCCACAGCAGCCAATTACAGTATGCTCTATCACACAACAGAGACTATAATGAAGAAGTGGCACGATTTACGACAGTCAACAAGACATGGAATTGGAATCAGTCTGTGATAATCATCCTCACTACCTTCGTGAGTTGTCTATTTGCTGCTCTGGTATTAGTAGCCTCCTTTCTGACATGACCCTTCCATAACATCGAAGGTTCTCACCCATGAGTAAATTTCTGTCCAGCCTACTCTACTTTCTTGTCAAAAATAGACCTACATTGTTACATTTGATGTCTTCGTTAGTCTCACAATACCTTAGGTAGAGAAAATTCATTACCAAACTGATCATTGCTGAGATGCCTCTCCTGTACCCTATGTAGAAGGACAAGTGTTGTGTCAGGCAAGGTCGTGGAGATGTAGCTGGTCGAGGCAGAGAAAGTAGTTGGACTCTTGGTCGATAGTTGAGACTCCCCTCCACAATGTTGTTCACATCTTCCTGTATTTATTGTTTTATTTTCTCTAGGCCTTTTACTTTCTAATGTCACCTCTGACCGTCGCGACAGGAAACTAATTCTTCACACTTAGCTGCGTGGCGAAAATGTCCTTGTTTTTGTCGGACGAGATTTGTAGTTCCCGCGACCGATGTGGGAGAACTGAGCTGATTGTGGGCTATAAACTAATAACAGGTGATAAACAAATTGATATTCTGATCTGCTTTGGAATTTTACCCTTACGCTTTTGATATGTATTTCCTAGTTATTAGTAGAGCACCTAATTGACAATATATTTCGTTCAATTTGTATAGATTGTGATTGCAATAGCTACGTTTTGAGTACTCACATTTTCTGTACATACCATTTGCTATGCAGCTCCCTAAGTTCCAATCCACATTTTACACAACCAGTCGCATTGTGGTATGTTGACAAACAGCCAGCGCAACATATGTAGTACACGATTTTCCCCGCCTATTCATCAGATGGAAAGGGATGGAAATGAGTTGATTGAAAGTAGATTGGGACCTGGTGACAGAGGAGTGCGGCGCGACGAAATGTCTACAAAGAGTCGTCACAGCTGATATTGTCACAACCTATCAGCTGGGTATAACAGGGATTGACATTTGGCGGGAGAGCGTCAAGGCCAAACATACTATAGTGAAGAGTGACATGTCATATTGCAGTTTTTATGTGAAAGACTTAGGGCTTTGACTTGAACCTTTACGAGGTTGGTTAGGTTTAGGAACATGAGGTTGTATTCCGTAAAAAAACATTTAATTTCTTTACGATGCTCAAATATTGTTACTTTTTAAAAGGTAGCATACAACTTAATGGGTTTGGACTGCTATACCCTAAAAGCGGATTATTAAATGATGCACCGTGGGTGCAAACGTCAAAAGAACAACGTAAAACGTGATCACTGATGGGTCTTTAATGTTTGCCCTATTTCAGAGTGAATTTAACAGCTCTGAGCTTTTGCAGTAGGTTATTTTGCTCGACAAGAAAA